GTATATTCAAGCCATTGTTTGTTTCGGTTGGTTTCGGTTGATTCTGGTTGGGATTGCTTGAAGAACAGGTGGATTTTCTTCTGGGGTGATTTGAATCATGTCATACAATCAGGAACATGCTTAATTTTGTGTTAGGTTTGCCTGAGATCAAATCCGTGCCTAGAAGGTTTGATATGAACTTCTCAAACCCGAAAGATCGGTCTCCGACAGTTCAGATCACTAGCATTTTCAATGGTCATTGTAATGGAACACAGAATTACTTAGGTTTGGATTCTTTGAAAGATGAAGGCTTTCGGAGTTTGTTAAAGTACTTCTCAGAGGACACGGTCCCAGACACTATCATCATGAACTCAGGCTTGCATGATGGTGTTCACTGGTCGAGTATTCGATTATTTTTCTCAAGGGGCTGAGTATGCAGCATCGTTCTGGAAAGACATTCTGGAATCGGTGAGGCGGAGAGGGTTATCAGTGCCACAAGTTGTTTTCCGGTCCATCCTAGTAAGGTGGAAGCATTCAATGGAGTTGTTCTGGAGAAACTAAGGCAAGCTGGGCTAGTTTCGAGTGTGATTGATAACTTCGATATGACTTATTCATGGCACTACGATAATAGGTGCAACTATGGCTTTCATTACGGGAGGGCTCCCCTAAAGATGAAGTGGAGAGACGGTGAGATCGGACACCAGTATTTCGTCGATCTCATGTTATGTCATGTGCTGCTTAATGTTCTATGTGCAAGATAGTAGAGCCAGTGCTTGGAGGTTTGATGAGCGTTTTTCCGAGTGGAGATTCCCCAGGAAGTGGTCTCTGCAACACCATAGTCATCGAAACCACCGGACTGCAGGTAGCAGCGGCTTGAGTGGTGCTTGGAGGCTGATTTATGATTTATTTCGAGTCGAGTTGGCATTCAATATTTGTTTATTGATTTATTACCATATATAGTTGCTTCACTTGTAGATCATTAGAAGGGATTTTCATATATTGATTATCATATGGATTTTGCTTGTTGTCATTGCTCCTTTCAGGTTCACTTGTAGATCATTAGGATCCCTTGAGTTTGGCAGTCATCGATTAACTTATGGAATTTCAATCGTTGCTTCATTAGAAGCGGTTAAAGTGATCTCTAATTACAAGTTTGAATTCAACCTAACTCGTCGAATCGAACAACCTCAATGATTTAAAGGATGATTGTTATATCTAAAAGTCTCGAATTTGAGTATAACTATTTATGACGTAATAGAATGTTGATATAGTGCACTAAACCGATTGAGATGACACTCTCTTGACCGATTGTTTGACTCTCCTCTCACAGCTAGGGGTGTGCAAAATTACCCGACCCGGTTGACCCGACCCGCCGACCTAAAAAACATATAATTTTCTTCAAAAAATTACCCGGCCGGGTCGGGCCTGGGTCACAAAATCTAGTTTTTTCAGGTACCCGGTTACCCAGTTAGTTTTTGTTATATATATAAAATATAATGAATTATTTATATTATGGATTATTATATTTTGTATTTCGAACTTTTAAATTTTATGTTCGGATATTAAAGTATGTAATTCGAAGTTTCGAACATTTAAATTTGTGTATATTTTTTTAAAATTAATAATTTGAAAATAAAAAATAAAAAAAACCGGGTACCGGATAACCGATTACCGGGTACCCGTAACATCGGATCGGGACACGAGCCGAGAAATCATTGACCCGGACCGAAAATTCAGGTACCCAAATTTGCACACCTCTACCCGAAAATATATACACAATTTAAATGTTCGAAACTTCGAATTACATATTTTAATATCCGAACATAAAATTTAAAAGTTTAAAATACAAAATCTAATAATCCATAATATAAATAATTAATTATATATATAATATATAAATAAATAAAAACTAACCGGTACCCCGGAAAAACTAGATTTTGTGACCCAGACCGACCCGAAAAATGTCGGGCCGGGTACCCCGGGTAATTTTTTTAAGAAAATTACCCCGGCTTTTTTGTCCGGATCTGGTAATTTTGCACACCCTACTCACAGCTCCTTCTCTTTCCGGTCTGTAGTAAAAAACTCTTTGTTTTTCTCTATCTCTTCCCACGTGACTGCAACAATTCCAATTTATTCCTAGCCATCACAAGAATCTCTTAGTAACCAACCAACCAAAGTTAACAAGCATTAAAGCAGTAGCTGAATCACCCAGTCTTTCTTCCATCCCTCCCGTTTACACCTGCCCCAAACAAATATTAAATACCTCAATCTATTTCTATCTATTCTAACCTCACACACACACACCTGTTATCGGTGCATATGTTTTCGACGCATTCATAGCCAAATTTTGGACCATCGTTTCTGGATTCTTTGCATCTTTATGGTGCATGTAGCTCTTAATGCTTTAAAGGGTAAACTATGTATTTAGTCACTCACTTATTCACGCGATTTCGTTTTAGTCATCTAACTATATTTCTTTTCAAAATCATGCCTAACATTACATTTTGATAACCAATCGTTAAAAAATTAATGATAATGTTGACATGTCAACATAAGATGATATCACGTCATCTTGAAAAAATAAAAAAAAATTATCAAGTCAGTAGTTTTGTTTAATTTTCAACGGAGGGTGATCAAAATGAAAGAAAAACATAACTTTAGGTATGATTTTGAAAAAAAAATAATTGTATGATCAAAACGGAACCGTGAAAATAAGTGAGGGACTAAATGTAGTTTATCCTATTTTAAAATATTATCCGATCTCTCTGATTTACGGAGTCATCATCATGAACATTGAACCTCACAGCAACAGTCTTAACATTGATTTCAACTGTCAATTGGCAGGGAATGATGATCATGACGTTAAGAGCTTCATTATCATGGTTGCGCCCTCCACCGTGCACCGACGAAGAACTAAATTACGACCAATGCATACCCTACAATAACTCCCAACTCAACATTTTGATGGCCAGCTTATGCTGGTTATCCATTGGAATCAAACCCTTCGTGTTCATCAATATTTCGATTTAACGACCGAAGAAGGCCAAAAAGGAAACAACAGTCTATAGTACACCACTCAAACAATCATCTTGATGATCACTTAAACTATTGTGGTCTATATCCAAAATGATATTAGCTAAGCGTTAGAGTTTGGGATCCCAACGCTTTCTCTCTTGTTTTGTTCTTCATTGGAACAAAAATTTACGTGTACATAAAGCCCCAAGAAAGTACTTTCATCGCTGTCGCACAATTTTCCATCGCTGCTTACAAAACATTTAAAATATTTTGTGTAGGACAATTGATGAACATATATCTGTAGGCTGAGATAAATTTGTTTTTCTAAGATGTTTCATTTTTTACTCTGTAAACAATCTAATTTATTTTTGAGCTCTACAAGAGTTTCAATATAAATTATAATTATGAGAAATTCTGATTCCAATCCTTTTATAAAAACACATGGATAAATCATATCATTTGCATACCATTCTTTCAACAAATATTTACCAACACAATTGTATCACTTTTGTTTAGATTGTTTTAAACTTTCATAAAAAAATCTTTAATATGATTAAACAACTCTTTTTTTTATAAAAATTCAATGAAAAACTTGTGAATTTTTCTCAATCTATTATCTTCTCTACAATATATCTGACTTCTTTCTCAATTTCTCAAGTATTCCACGGTTGGATCGTGACACTTGGTATCTATAGCCGGTTTTAACATCTATCCAAGCAAGCTAGGAAGACCAAAGAAGGTACAAACCATGGCAGAAAATGCAAACCTTACTGCTTTTCAAAAACAAGTAGACAACATCAAAAACAAAATGGAGCAACAGTAGAGGAAAAAATGAATAGCATCGAATCTTGGGCAGTAGAAACTCAACCCAACATGAAAAGGATTTTAAAGCTATTGACTAAGAAAGAAAAAGGACATGAGCAACAATGAGAGATTGTTAAGTCTTCACAATATGATCAGCTTGAAATGCATCAAAAGAAACCCACTCAAGTCACCATAATACATGAACATGAGAGCTTCTCTTACAATCTAGAGGCTTCAGGTCTTTTAGCATCTACACCCCCTATAGAAGAAAAAGTGAAGGAAACTCTTGAAGAAGGTCTAGAAATCTCCATCAATGCTTTGACCGGTAGCATTGGTCATAATACTTTGAGAATACAAGGTTTGATCAAGGGTAAGCCATTGAACATCCTTGTTAACAGTGACAGTACACAGTTTCGTAACAGAGGCATGAGCTAAGGAAGGAGTGGAAGTGATCCCAACCAACCCCTTGACTATTACTGTTGCTAATTGAGAAAAACTATACAACACTGCTAAGAGCAGGTAATTGATGTGAAAGATGCAGGGGCACCGATTTGATCATGATTTTAGGGTTCTTCAAAGAGGGAGTGACATGGTTTTTGGAGTAAATTGGATGAAAAAATACAATACTATTGTACTGGATTTAAATGAAATGACATTCAATTCTCAAAAGAAGAGAAAAAATATAGTGCTACAAGGAGGAAGGAGAACTTCAAAAATTTAAACTAATTTCCAGTGACAAGATGCAGAGAATGGCAGAGAAAGATGCTGAACTAGTAGGAGAAATATATCTATTGAAGGTAAGTAAATGAATCTCGAAGTTGATTTGTGATACTTTACAAATTTACAAATGAACTATATTTTTAACTTCTAGTTCAAATTACTTTGTACAATTATTCTATTTAATATCTGTTTCATACAACTTATTGTTCTCTACTCTAATATTAGAAAAAGTTCTGTCATAAAAAGGATAGTAGACAAGTCATACTATAAATAAATCTCTAATTAATGTTCAGAATATTCTATAATAAAATAAGACTCGTACCCAATATTTCCAACTTCATTTAAATTCCATACTCGGACGTAACTGTAGAGATATTAAAGTTCATGAAATACCCAACAATCATACAGGAGTAGAGGACGTAACACAAGTAAATAAAGCACATGCAGTGCAAGAAATTGAGAAAGAGCGATCTCTAAACCCAGCATACTCTCAATATGTCAATTGCTTCGTTGATTTTCATTCAGCAACCTAAACTTAAATGGCTTATTCTCAATATAATCAACTCTATGGAAAACTAAACCAACTGGAAAATTAATGTGAACAACAGCATATAAAGAAGGGGGAGAAGAATTTACAAGTAATGCCGCTTCATTTTTCATGAGAATCGTCGATGGCATCTATCTTAATTATAAGAGGCTGGTGGAGATTTCCGGGTGCTTCACCCACAATAGGTAACGTCGGTGAGCCTACAATGCTATCAACATCCTCATTTTCCGCCAAGGCTTTATCTAGAGCCGATTTGGCAACTTTAGTCACACAAATCATTAAAACCACTGCATAAAAAAGAACACTCAAGTCAAAAAATTCTGAACTGTAAAAACACAGGTTATTGTGCAATTACATAATTGCATTTTTGTGTAAGTTCTGAGTATTTTATTGACAACCATTTGTTCTAGAATTTAAAGCATTAACAAAATAAAGGTGAGGAAATCATTTTCATAGGAATCATCTAGCAGATCCTATATTTCTTTATCTATGTTACTAGGATTCATTTCCACAATTTTTTTGTATGACATGAGCGCTAATAAATATCCTCCAAATCCATTAAAAACTTATAAACAAATTTCTGAACACATGCTGTATCTGACACACATGAAAACAGAGAATTACGGCTTAAAAGTATTATTAGGGGTGGTGAAGGTTTTGTATTCTAAAAAATAGATACAAATTATGGCTTAAAAGTATTATTAGGGGTGGTGAAAGTTTTGTATTCTAAAAAATAGATGCATTGCAAGGGGGAAAGGAGAAAAATTAGAGAGATAGAGATGCAAAATTTCATATATTCAGTGCTTTGCAGCTTACCAGACACAGAAAGGCCCATTATAAGAAATGCCTGCATTCATAAAGCAAACATGGGTTGTAAGAACACAAGACCGAATTAAGATGAAGTACAAAAAGCATGTTTGTTGTCCTAATTAGGATTGCCAAATGTAAAAAAAAAACATGCACCCCAGGTTTCAGTTTGTGCTCCTTTGTCAGTCACAGTAAAAGAATCTTACAGAAAATAACTAGAAGTAAATAGTTAAGTACATTTTCCTGGCCTAAAGGGGCCACAAGTAAAGCATACCTCAGCAAACTACATAATGGGGCCAACAACTTAAACTACAAATAGATAAACAATTGGTCATATGAAGAATAACAAAAGTTACCCAACGTGCAGTTGAAAACTCATTCCATCCATGTGTCACATCAGAAAGATCCTTAAGAGTTGTTCCGACATAAACTAAAACAAGGGTTATTGGCTGTAACAAACACCATTCTCAGTGTTAAATCCGAAGCATGACAAAACCACAAAAAAGGGAAACACGCATAAATAGCAAGCTGAAATTTTTGGAAAGAATAAGCAGTAGGTGATAGTAATTGAGATGCAGATACCATCATTCCTAACCAGGAGGCCAACATGTATTCTAGAACTGGAACGGGAGTCACTGACAACAGATAATTCATCATGTTGAATGGGAGCAAGGGTACAAGTCGAAGCAGCAAAACAATCTGTCCAAGAACAGAAGAAAATTTAGAAATCTGACAGTATTTCAATCAATAAATAAAGCTATTCCCTTTTTTATCTTCAATAGTGATTATCCATTTTCTAAAAAAACCATCAATTGATATAAACTAACATGATGTGTTGCCACCAATCCATCAGGCAAACTATAAATAGTAGTTTCCATTTTTCTTTTTTGGGGGTGAAGTGGACATTGCAAGGAGGGATTTCATGTTAAAAGAACAAAAATGCACGAATGTAGCATGAGAAAGATACCCACAAGGAGAAATAACAAGCAACATTTTATCGAGATAATCCAAAACATCATTTTCTGAAAGCCTGAAAAGACACTTTTCTTCTATTAAATCAATGTTCTTCGAACTTATCGAACTTAGGAAGAACAGAAATTTTGTTTTTTTCACTATTTGGATAATAGCATTAACATTAAATCGAGGTACAATCGCATTTATTAACCCATGCTGATGCATTCAGTTAAGCATGATTTAAGGCAAAGCTTATCAAATAACTTCAATTTAATAAAGAGTTAGAGATAGAACCAGTAAGTCATCCTTTAGAAAATAACAAGACTACAAACCTTAAAGCCAGATCTCCTTATTGCAATTGCTACTGACCGGAACTGAGGATAATCTTTTAACTTAGAAACAACAAATGTTCTCCCAATCTGTATAAGAACAATAAATAAGATGAAAATTGAAAGAGAGGCGATAGAAATAAATATGAAATTGAACTAAATACAAAGCAAGTGACAAGGTTTAGTAAAAACCAATATCCAACATATCAATAAGTTGCTTTTTTTCCATGGATGGTAAAGTAATAAGACAATAAAAAAATTCATCACAAATCAGTTAACATACTGTTCTGCCAAGAAGGAATGCCGCTCCTGCACCAAGAGTTGCACCAATAGAATCTGCAACGAAGCCCACAGGCAGTCCAAAAAGATAGCCACCACCAAGCTGAAAAATGAAACACAGTACTTGGTCGATTTAAATTTTATTCATTTCTCATTTGATTTCTGGAAGGAGGTTTCAATCTACAACTTTACATGATGAGTAAAATATACAACATAAATAACAAATTTAAGAAAACAGGTTGCAGAAAAATAAGAAAAAAGAAGTTAAAAGATCGTAGGGATAGTTTAATGTCATATTAACTGTAAGAATGCTAGTCAATCATACTTTAGTGTTCTCTGGTAAATGAAAAACAAAATTCTGGGTTAAAGTGGTTTGTTTAAGCTTTAATTTTCCGGTAGGCAGCATAGAATTTAACCAAAACGTGTCAATTTAACAAGATCCACAATTTACCATATCATTATTCTAGATGTTTGAGCATGTCCAGATCCAGATACTTATAGAGCTACTAAATCGTCTATAGAAACTAATTCTAAGTTCATTAACAGGTAATTAAAACAGCCATGTATAGTAAATAATCTGCATCAAGAATTGAATGGATTTTACTTCCATAATAGTAGACAATAGTAGGGAATGGACATCATCCCTACTCTACAAAAAACAACCGCTAAGAATGAATGCAAGAATCAGGATCGTTACTCCATATCACACAAGGAGAGAAACACCAATGATAAGTTAAAATATCATGAACAAGAAAGAAATCCATGATGACACAAAATGCTAACAATTTGGCTGCAATGAAGATTCAGTATAGGAGTTTAAAGCTTACAGTAAGCACTGAAGCTGGAACCGCCAAGACTGTCAAAGGAATATAAGCAACAGCCCTGCAAATCAACAAAGAACTCTGAAGTTGAAAGGTAACAAATTCCAATACTTCAGAATTAAGTTATCCAAGGCTAATCAATTCACTAGAAAACTAGGCAGTTATCAACACCAAAGCTTCAAATTTAGAGGTATACTACATAACAATGAGGCTAAGATTAATACTCATTGAGGGGCATTCTATGTCCTGTCTTGACGGCAATGAACAATTTATATCATGTTTATTAGATGGACACGCTACCAAATCAAATGCAATGCATTAAGTAAACAAAATAACAGATGTTAATGGAAGCTAAAAGAAATTACTAGAGGATTTCAAGTGACTTACAGCACAAGTGGACCCCAAGGTCCAAGATCCTTGTCAACCCATAACAAAAAATCCTTCAGAATCTGCAAGAAAACTTGCGTTCATCGACAAAAAGAATCTACCAAAAAAACAACTGGGTAACTATACTAACAGTTAATAATTGGAAAGCTAAGGAGAACCGGAATCCTTAAGAATGATATGAGGCGTTTTATAGTTTAAGTAAACCTGGTCGTTTAAGTAAGTTTTGTCATTATGAATACGTTTTCGTTTTGCTGTGTTTTATGTTTAGCTTGAATGCAGCGTTTTGGCTTAGGGCTAAATGCTGAGTTGAGGGTTTGTGCAAAAACAATTTTGAGTTCAAAAAAAATCTCAGCCGTTCTACTCTCCTTCTCTTGATCTTATGGATTTTCTTGTGATTTCAAATTTGAGCGTGCAACAAAGAATTCATGATCATGACCCTACTTAATTTTGTATTTCTCCTCATAAATATTGTCTTATATTTACTCTAACTTTGCAATTGGTATTGGTTTCAGAAGTGGAATGCAGTTAGATAAATGCATGAGTTCAAAAGTAGAGGCTTGGTTGCAAATTAATCCTGAAACCTATGAACAAAATCACAAATTTGCACTTATAACAACATACCCTGTAGTTCATGAATAGGAAGTGATATATACAGACAGAACCAACAATGCGCCACATAGGTAGTTCATTGGAGTAGAAAACACCAACACATTCAAATCTTAATCAATACAAACACCCAAAAAAATCCAGTGAACCTCAAAAAAGAAAGAACAAGATTAATCGGATAAAAAACCCCCCAAAAAATTAGCAAATAAATCTAATTATCAATCCAAAAGAGAAAAACAAGAAATACCCAGATCAGAAAACCAAAAGAAAAAAGAAAAATTAAGAATAATGAGTAGAAAATAAATTCACCCAGATGAAGAAAACATGTAACAGATAGAAAAAGCAAACCTTTTCAACAGGGAGGGTAAAACAAGCAAAAACAGTAGCAGCAAGAAGAAGAAGAAGAAGAGTGATCCTGAGAGAGGAGCCCCAGGAGAAAGCCATTGACAACCTACGACGCCAAGGCCTACACTCTTGGTTGTTGCTGTTAAAATCGAAGATCTCTGGTTTAAACGATGAACGAGCTCTCAATCCTTCAATGGTTGCCAGATTTTGGGAAGTTGAAGGAAAGCGAAAAAGGAAAGGAAAAAAGATGTGGGATCTTCTGACTTTGTGCTTGGTTTCTTCCTATAGCGGTTTTAGCCTAACAAACACTCTTGTGATTTTTTTAGTATTTGTCTTATTGCTTTTATTTCGATTGCTTATGGGTTTTTTTTTAAATATATATATATATTATTTAATGATCCTTTTTTATCTTGTCATCCATTATCTATTAAGGGTACGTTTAGTTCACGGAATGTAAGATTATCAGTGGGAATAAAATATTACCAGGGAATATGATTACTGAGAATGTTGTATTTTGTGTTTGGTTGGTTTAGCAGTAATGTAAGATTATCGTATTTGATTAAAGGAATAAAAGATTATTAAAATGTATATTTGACCAAATTGTCCTTATTATATAATTGTATAATATTACAAGTTGTAAAATATTTATATATTTTCTTTAACAAATTAAATTCATAATATTTATATAATTTTTTTATAAAATTAAAAATATAAAAAAGGTTTAATGAAATGTTAAATTTTTATTTTAACCCTGAACTTCATATAAAATTTTAATTATAGACTTTTTTGTAAATCTAAAATAATTTAAGGATAAATTTATAATTTAACCTTCATAGAATTTTTATTATTCAATGACAGAAGAATGATATTTTTGAAAAAAAATAAAAAAATTAAGGGCATTTTAGTACAAAACGCCGGTAATGTTACAATACCTAAGGGAATAGAGGTAATGACATTCTCAGTAATATACCCCAAAAAATCTACTATTGGTAATAAAACATTACCGGGAATGACATTTCCAGCCAAACCAAACGGGAGAATGTGGATTCCATTCCCGGGGGAATCTCACATTCCCCATCCAAACGCCTAACAATTAAATAAATTTATTTTAATTTTGTATATCATATATATATATATATATATAGTAAGATTAAATATTTTTAAAATCATATTTATTGTACATTCTATCAAAATATATGTAGTAATCGTCCCTCGGGTGGGTCCGAAATCGGGTTTCGACTTAAATGAAACATGTTGGAGCCGTCACCGATCATTTATTTAATTAATTAGGTTGATCGGACACCTTAATTTATCATCTTACCCGATCTGCGTTTTATCATAAATATGTAGGATTCGGGAGTCGATTACAGTCAATGAAAGATTAGCACCCTTGTACTGCCCTTTCAGTACCAATTTAATTTCTCAGTTGTCTTAATTGTGAAAATTAAAAGTTAAATTAAAATTTAAATATTCGATTCGAATTACTTACCTTTAATTGATAAAAATTGCCCCTAAAAAGTCACAAAACGTTAGATTATAAAATAAAATAAATATTCAATAAATCAAAGAAGGAAAAAAGTTAAATTAAGAAATTAACAAAAAAAAATGTTAAAAGAGAAAAATAAAATAAAATGAAGAAAGTATTAAATTTTAAAATAAATAAAATAATATATATATATATATATAATATTAAAAGGAAGAAAAATACATTAAAAATGAAATATATAAACAAATGAAGAACATGTCAAAATTGAAAGAGAATAAAAAAGAAATAAATAAAAAATTAAAGGATCAAAATTGGGGGGTTAAATTGCAAAAATGGGAAATATAATCAAGGATTAAATCGAAATAATTCAAAATTCAAGGGCCAATTTATAATAGGTGACTAAAATGAATTATACATTAAAGTATTAGGGACTGCAAAAATAATTTAACTATCTTGTAATTACACCAAGGTCCCCCTAAAAATACCCCTTAAAACCCAAAAAATCTCCCCCTCTTCAAAAACCTCTCAACCCAAGCCCCCAATCGGCCAAAGGCCGACCACCACTCTAGCCCTACACCGCCGCCACTCCGAACCGAATACACCAAAACGCTCTCCTCGATTCGTTAGTCACGAAATCAAAGCCTATTTGTCCTAAAAAGGACCCTATAAGCGTAGATCTAAGTTGGAAACCTCGAATTTTACCTTTCCTAATGATAACCTTTTGACTATCAGCGACCGTCCCTACCCCCGAGCATGATCAAAGCTTCTCATTCGTTGTTTGTGTGATTTTCCTTGAGGTTTTGCGAGTGATTTTTGTGTTTTTTGTCTGTGTTTGCCTTGTTTTTGTTGTGTATTATTTCGATGGGTTCTCCGGTGTTTATATTAGTCTCAAAGGGATTTTTTTTCCCCTTGAATCTTAGTGGCTCGATCTAGGTTTAATAGGGATTTTCTGTTTTGGGTTGATGGAATGTATTTGTTCCGTATTTGCTCCGATCTTTGGTGTTTATGGAACATGTTTGTTTCGTAGTTTTGCGATTTTCCAATTTCAGGTGCCGAAGATATCGACCGATTGGTAACTTTGCTAGCCCGTGGCCTCCATGCGCTGTTGAAATAGTGACCTGATGTGTTTTTAGTCGTTGGATCTAAAAGCCTGACCCAACGACCTTGGTTGATTGCGGTGTCGATGCTAAGTGTAAAACCCTAATCCGTTGGGCCTCCAGGTTTGCTTGTTGGGTCAGGCTGGTATTACTCGGTTGTGCTTCATTTTGGACCCGAATGGACCTTTAGACTCTTTATTGGACTTGGACCTAAACCAAAGTGAAAATAAAATAAATAAAATAAAAAGAAATATAAAATATATGTATTAAAGCGATATAATGTAACACCCATAACCCGTATAATTATACCTATACAGATTATAGATGTCACCTGAATTTCTAAAAACATTTTCCAATTCAAAAGTGATTGAAAAATTATTTTCTTAAAATAGTACTGATAATATAAAAATATCATATCATATCAAATTATCACATACTATTTAAAACATATATTAATATGGATTTATGCTATCCATATTGAAACAGAGTAAAACAATTTAGTTTAATTTAGTTATTTCAAACCAGTTGCAAAATAATTTAACAGAGCAACTAGGACATTGATAAGTACATGCCACTAACAAAGTCAAAATTTCATCATAGGATGTCTTATTGATACTATAGTATATTCATTGATGCTTGGAGTGCTCTGTACTCTTTACTCTACTCTTGGCTTTTTACCTACGTGTGAAAATTATCACATGCTAAGTATATACTTAGTGAGGCAATTAAAAACAATAAACAGTGCAATACAACTCATGCATGAAATTTAATGTCATAAACAAATGTCATAAGATCATGTTACCTGCATATCCAATATTTTACCATGATCAAAATAATATAACTGAATATAAAATTTCTTACCAATATACTTTCCATTTATCCCATAAGCTCGTAAGATAACCCAAAGTATAACTATATGAGAACCCCGATATAGGAGTCAAATATTGCACCGCAGTGTTAAGGTTATGCTTTGCTCACCTAATAATGCACCGTAGTGCTGAGGTTGGGCTTTACCCACCTTGTACACCGTAGTGTTTTGTATCGTGTCTTCGCTAGACATTTTGAGGCATGCACTATGTGCCTTCTCTAGACACTCTAGTGCTACCTATTATGCAGCTGCTAGACTTTATGACATTACATTAATACCACTAATCCTCAATAACATACTTGGGCATATAGTCTATTTTATTTGATCCATCCATGGCAAAGTATATTATCATAATTTAACAATGAGGCAGTTCATACCCAAAATAACATTCATGGTAAAATATCACATTATTCATGATTAATGCATTATAATTTCACACTATGACATATCAATGTCATATCGAAGTTATAAAAATGACATAATATCATGCTTGTATAAACAAGGTCGACTTATCGCAAGTTTTCCTGATGATGTATAAAACATTTATGTACATGATGTATAAAACATCTATGTACAATGTCATGCATGTTTTGCACTCACCTTGACACTTTATATATTCCAAAATATATGCCTCAATATGATCCACAATAAACCCTTTTATACTTGACTTGCTTCGATCACAAATCAATCACGATCTGTATAAATCACAATTTCATAACGATACATATGTTAGTATTGTACCAACATAAACACATCCCATAACAACTCCATAATATACTTGAAACTCATTTTCTACCAAATATTTAAGGGTAAAATATAGTAATGGTCACTGAACTTTTCTAAAGCTTTCATTTAGATCCCCCAACTTTTAAAACTTACAATATAATCCCCCAACATTTAGTCCGTTTGCAATATGGTCCCTCAACATTTAGTTCGTTTGAAATGTGGTCCTTGATGTAACTGTTGGGGGACCATATTGCAAACGGACTAAATATTGGGGGACTGTATTAAAAGTTTTAAAAGTTGGGGGACCTAAATGAAAGCTATAGAAAAGTTCAGTGACCATTACTATACTTTACCCTAAATTTATTCTTTCCGTTTTTTTTTTTTTCTCTCGACAAGCCCTTGTATTTTGGAGGTTTTTCACTTATGTATCAATTTAACTATGACTTTACGAAAATAGAAATTTAGTCTCTTTATTTTAATTTGTTAGAATCTGATCTTTGTATTTTATAGATTATTGCGTGATTTTTTTATTAATTTCATAGATATATAAACTATAGATTTCGAATCACCGATTTAACAACAAAGTTTACAATTTTAATCAATTAAACTATTTTTTTTTTGGTTTTTGTAAAATGAAGTAACAAAATTCTAATAAATGAAAATATATAAAATAATTTTCTAATTTTTATAAAGATAGAAACTAGTAATGCAGAAAATGGTTTCTTCTTTAGAAACAAATTAAACGAGAAATGGAAGTACAAAGTTAAGTTTAGGGTGTTGTGGGTAATTAGAGTAATTTATAATTTTAATTGTTTGAAAATCCACTTTTTTTTAAAACAAAAAAAAATATCCAAACTCCAAAACCTCTCATAAGTGATTTGTTCCTTTCAAATTATGCATGTTGGAATGCAAGTTTTAGTGAGTTATGTTTAATTCTTTTCATTGAATGAGATCCATCATAAAGGTGGTTGCATCAGTACTATTTTATACACTTGGCTAATGCTAATTAACAAAATTAGAAATAAATCATTTTGTTATCTATATCTATCTATATTAACTTAATAATTCATAATTGAAGCTCAAAGAGTGGTCTCAGTGGACAAAGCGTAATGCATTCCTTCTATGTGATCTAA